GTTCAAACAATTCTTCCACTTCAGCCTCCTGAGTAGCTGGGATTACAGGCACCTGCCACCATGCCTGGCTAATTTTTGTATTTTTGTAGAGATGGGATTTCACCATGTTGGCCAGGCTGGTTTTGAACTCCCGACCTCAGGTGATTCGCCTGCCCTGACTTCCCAAAGTGCTGGGATTACAGGCATGAGCCACCCGTCCACCCTGAAAACCTTTAAAATTTATAACTTCAGGCCAGGCATGGTGGTTCATGCCTGTAATTCTAGCACTTTGGGAGGCCAAGGCAGGTGAATCACCTGAGGTCAGGAGTTCAAGACTAGCCTGGCCAACATGGTGAAACCCCACTCTACTAAAAATACAAAAATTAGTTGGATGTGGTAGCGTGCACCTGTAGTGCCAGCTACTCTGAGATAAGAGAATCACTTGAATCCAGGAGGCAGAAGTTGCAGTACACCAAGATCGCACCACTGCACCCTATCCTGGGCGACAGGGTGAAACTCTGTCTCAAAAAAAAAGGCTCACGCCTGTAATCCCAGCACTTTGGGAGGCCAAGGCAGGTGTATCATGAGGTAAGGAGTTCACCAGACAGGCCAAGATGGTGAAACCCGTCTCTACTGAAAATACAAAAGTTAGCTGGGTGTGGTGGTGGGCACCTGTAATCTCAGCTACTCGGGAGGCTGAGGCAGAGAATTGCTTGAACCCAGGAGGTGGAGGAGGCAGTGAGCTGATACTGCACCACTGCACTCCAGCCTGGGCGACAGAGTGAGACTCTCTCAAAAAAAATAAATTATAACTTCAGGAAACAGAAAAACTAAAAAGTAATCACAGTGTACCACATACAGATGTGAATAGCATTTGCATGTCATAAATAATAATATGACCCCTAGGCTGGGCTCGGTGGCTGAGGGCAAGAGATTGAGTCCATCCTGGCCAACATGGTGAAACCCCGTTTCCACTAAAATACAAAAAAATTAGCCAGGCATGGTGGCACCTGTAGTCCCAGCTACTTGGAGGGCTGAGGCAAGGGAATTGCCTGAACCGAGAAAGAGAGGTTACAGTGAGTCGAGATCACACCACTGCACTCCAGCCTTACCGACAGAACAAGACTCCACCTCAAAAAAAAAAAAAAAAAAAATGACCCCTGCCAGGTGGGGTGGCTCACACCTATAATACCAGGAGGCCAAGATGGGTGGATCACCTGAGGTCAAGAGTTCGAGACCAGCCTGGCCAACATGGTGAAATCCCATCTCTACTAAAAATACAAAAATTAGCTGGGCATAGTAGCAGGTGCCTATAATCCCAGCTACTGAGGAGGCTGAGGCAGGAGAATTGCTTGAAACTGGGAAGAGGTTGCAGTGAGCTGAGATTGTGCCATTTTACTCCAACCTGGGCAATGAACTGAGACTTCGTCTCCAAAAAAAAAAAAAAAAAAAAAAAAAAATGCTGGGCACAGTGGCTCACGCTATAATCCTAGCACTTTGGAAGGTCAAGGTGTGCAGATCACCTGAGGTCAGGAGTTCGAAACCAGCATGGCCAACATGGTAAAACCCCTGTCTCTACTAAAAATACAAAAATTAGCTGGGCGTGGTGGTGCACACCTGTAATCCCAGCTACTCAGGAGACTGAGACAGGAGAAGAATCCCTTGAATCCAAAAGGTGGAGGCTGCAGTGAGCCGGGATTGCACCACTGCACTCCAGCCTGGGGACAGCAAGACTCCATCTCAAAAACTAAGTAAATAAAATAAAATAAATAATAATAATAGTATGACCTGGCTAGACATGAGGCATTATGGGCTCACACCTGTAATTCCAGCACTGGCCAAGGCAGGCAGATCGCTTGAGCCTACCAGGAGGTTGAGACCAACCAGTACAACATGTCCAAAAAATACCAAAAAACTAACCAGGTGTCACGGTGCATACCTGTGGTCCCAGCTATTCTGGAGGCTGAGGTGGGAGGATCAGCTGAGCCTGGGACATTGAGGTTGCAGTGAGCTGAAACTGCGCCATTGCACTGCAGCCTGGGCGATCCTGTTGCAAAAAAACAGGCCTCAGAGGGTGTTAAAGATCCACTCTGCCCTGGCTCCTTTCTGTCCTGCTGGTTCAGCTCTTCCTGCTCCTCTGACCATTTGGGAGGTGCCAGGGCTAAAGTGCCACAGGTGCCTGACCAGGGCTACCCAACCAGGGCTGCAGCCACAGGGCCTGTCATGCTTTCCAGGGAACACAGGGAATTTTCTTTCTTTGCATTTAGCAGTAATTAACAATAACTGAACATGGACCAGGATGTAGAGATCATGACAAGCACATGTCCTCACTGAAGCCCCAGCCAGCCACCCCTGGGAGTCATTTGGGTGTCCTTGTCCCCCAGTCTGTGCTCTAATACCTCTCCACGCCTGTTCCTATTTGAAATTAGAAGTACTATGTATACAAAACTAAGTTCTTTATGAAAAAAGGAAATTTCCATTTACTTTATCATTCTCTCATAAAGTTACATCTATTTTTTTCTTTTTTTTCTCTATAGTTGCACACTACCATGCCAGGCTAATTTTTTTTTAATTTTTAGTAGAGATGGGGTCTCACTGTGTTGTCCAGGCTGGTCTTGAACTCCTGGGCTCAAGTGATCGTCCTGCCTCAGCCTCCTAGGTTCCGTCTGTCAGGAGGGGGTTGTAATGCGGAAGCTCCATCTCTATGCTGTATTGCGGAATTCTGCTAAGGCTAAGCTGGAGGAGGACAAGGTGCACGGCTCCCGAAGGGCAGGGCCTGTGAGTCCTGCTCAGTGCCGTCCAGCCCGTGCCTGGCACACAGCAGCACTCAACAGGCACGTGGCGCATTCATGAGGAGACCGCTGTCAGAGCCTCCTGTGTCTTCAGCTCTGTACAGTGAAACAAAGGTTTCTTTGTCATGGTGTTTTTCACATCAGTTACATTGACCATCCATTCATAGCAGCACATACACATTGGTGAAATTAAGATGTGTTGGGATATTCATTAGTGTCCCATAGACAGAAAATAAATGTATATTTACCAGGTCCTCGTCCAGACCATGGTCATATTCAATCCAGTATGTTGTGTCAGTTGCTTGACAGTGGTTATGAATGATCCTCAAGAGGGCTCCGTCTACATCTTCAGGATCCTAGGAGGGCACTCACGGTGGTGTCATGGGACTCTGGACTCCTGAGAAATGGCCTTGAGTCTACAGGACACAACTACAGCCTGACCAGACCACCCGACGCTCCCAGGCTCATGGCTTGCTCCCCTCCTGGCCATTTCCAGCCTGGTAGAAAACTTGCCTTTCTGTTCCTGTTGCCCCCGGCTTTGAGATCAGTGAGGGTAGGAAATGTGCCCTGGCCACTGAAAGGGCTGTAGGAAATGCCAGCTCCCTGAGAATGCAGCCGCACTCCAGGGCAGGACCGGGAAGGAGCACACTGCCAGGGCGACATGTGGTTGCAAGCCCAGCTCTGTGCCTGAGCAGCGTGCTCTCTGTGGGGTCTCTCCTGACCGTCTCTGCGAGGTGCGGGGAGAGAACTGCTGCCCCCTTTGAATGCTTTCTTCCTCCTGTGGACAGATGGCCCTTCTCTCTTTCCCTATAATGCAGCCCGTGGAAATATTCAAGAGACACACCACTTAATGACTTTCCAAGTGGGACATCAACGAACTGGGCTTCTACCCTGAGCATCATCTTGCTGTGGCCCTCCAATAAGTCACCCCATTATTTATGCCTCACTTTCCTCAACTGTAAAATGTGAGGAGAGCCAGGTGTGGTGGCACACACCTCTAGTCCCAGCTACTCAGGAGGCTGAGGCAGGAGGTTCACTTGAGCCTCGGAGTTAAACACTGCAACGAGCTATGATTGCACCACTGTACTCCAGACTCCTAGGTTGGAGTCTCAAAAAGAAAAAAAAAAAGTGAAACTCCATCTCTAAAAAAAAAAAAAAAAATCATTGGCCAGCAGCAGTGGCACATGCCTGTAATCCCAACACTTTGGGAGGCCAAGGTGGGTGGATCGCCTGAGCTCCAGCATTTGAGACCACCCTGGCAACATGGTGAAAACCCATCTCTACTAAAATACAAAAAAAAAAAAAAAAAAAAAGCCAGGTGTGGTGGCACGTGCCTGAGTCCCAGCTACTCAGGAGGCTGAGGCAGGAGAATTGCCTGAACCCAGGAGGCGGAGGTTGCGGTGAGCCGAGATCGCGCCATTGCACTCCAGCCTGGGTAACAAGAGCAAAAACTCCGACTCGGGGAAAAAAAATAATAAAATCACTTGAGCCCGGGAGGCAGCGGTTTCAGTGAGCTGAGATCGCACCCCTGCACTCCAGGTTGGGCTACAGAGTGAGACTCAGTCTCAAAAATAAATTAATTAATTAAATTTTAAAAATTGGCCAGGTGCAGTGGCTCATGCCTGTAATTCCAACACTTTGGGAGGTGGAGGCAGGCAGATCACAAGGTCAAGAGTTCGAGACCAGCCTGACCAACATAGTAAAACACTGTCTCTACTAAAAATACAAGAAATTAGCCAGGTATGGTGGTAGGCACCTGTAATCTCAGCTACTTTGGAGGCTGAGGCAGGAGAATCGCTTGAACCCAGGAGGTGGAGGTTGCAGTGAGCTGAGATCATGCCATTGCACTCCAGGCCAGGTGACAGAGCAAGATTCTGTCTCAAAAAAAAAAAAATTATGCGAGTAGAAATTACTTTTTTCCCTTGCTTCTCAATAAAATGCTGCCCAGAATGACTAGCTTTTCTTTTTAATTGAACCCAAAAGAAGCGTCTAGGATGGACCAAGTCTGGTGGAAAAACAGCGTATCACCAGGAGAGAAGGGAACATCATTTCCCAGAATCAGGGGGCAGGGCGGATCATCAGGTCACAGTGCAGTGCTACTCATCACCGTCATGAAAAACTCATGAGTGTCAGAAGCGCCACAGAGATTCCTGATCAGGTGACATCTGCCATTATTGTAGAGAGCTCCATAGAAAAATGCAGACAACAGGGTACAAAGACATTACTCTTTATAAATAAAAGGTTCATCTGTGCAGTATTCACATTAGAAAAATACACATTGCTTGCCATAGACTTTCTCAGGATAAATCAGACAAATCTAGGATCTCACTCCCCTTCACTGTGAGGGCCCTGCCTCCACAGCTTCTAGAGGAACTCCTTCCGACGGGCCCATCCGCAGGCCACACCCCTCTGCGTTGGTAACTACGACAATGTCTTCCTCCCGAGACACTACTGTACCTGGAGGGGACAAGAAAAGCCCGTTGGAAGTTTGAATAAAAATCTGCTCCTGTCCCTGAGACAGTAACTCACAGCTCCCATTGGAAATTTCAAAAGCCAGGGCTTCGCCGATGGCAGCCACGCTCTCCAGTTCTCTCCGGCCCGAGTGCACTTTCCTCCCACAGGAAAACTGGTTCAAGTCCCCCGAAAGGCTTCGGAGATGCCCTTCAGTCAACAGTGATCTGTGTGGGCCGGGCTGAGGCCCTGGCTTGGGCACAGTCCTGTGGGCACAGTCCACTGCCACACTATCCATGGGCAACATTTTCTCAAGCGCAAGGGCTACAACCTCCGGAGGCAAGCTGCCAGTTCAGGTGGAAGTCACAGGCCTTGCTGAGGTGTCCTGCCTCTGTATGTCCAGGCCCCCCAGGTGACAGGGACTCTGCACCAGATGACAAGGTGTTACAGAAACCCGGGCTCCTCAGGCTGCCCTGGGCATACTGGTCTGAAGAGTGTTCCAGAGCATTCTCTCTGGGAAATGCTGCCACCTGTGCCTGGGTCAGCCTCCTAGGCTCTCCTGACTGGGCATAAAGAGCCAGCCCACTGACACCGTGGGATGAGAGAGCAGCACCCACAGACCCACTCCTGGCTTCTAAGTCAGCCAATGCCTGAAGCTGTGGGCTCGGCCGGAACATGCTCCCATCACCATCAGAAACCACCATCACATGGCTTTCTTCAGAATGCACAGAGGTAGTCCCATTTACTGGAGGGGCAAAACCTAAACATTTTGGGAAACAGGTGAGCTACGTGTACTGTGTCACGCCCATTCACGGCACTCACCATCCAAAACAAGCTAGGCCAAGCCACCTTCCCTGCAGAAAAATCAAAGCATCCATTCTCCTTGCTCCCTGGGATTGGTAGCAATTTAAAAAAACACATCCACTTTGGGAGGCCGAGGCGGGTGGATCACGAGGTCAAGAGATCGAGACCATCCTGGTCAACATGGTGAAACCCCGTCTCTACTAAAGATACAAAAATTAGCTGGGCATGGTGGCGCACGCCTGTAGTCCCAGCTACTAGGGAGGCTGAGGCAGGAGAATTGCTTGAACCCAGGGGGCGGAGGTTGCGGTGAGCCGAGATCGTGCCATTGCACTCCAGCCTGGGTAACAAGAGCGAAACCCCGTCTCAAAAAAAAAAAAAAAAAAAACACATCCCTATTATCCATTCACAAAAACAGATTTTGCATTGAAAATAAATGTGTTCTAGGCCAGGTATAGTGGTTCACACCTGTAATCCCAGCCCTTTGGGAGGCTGAGGCAGGTGGATCACCTGAGGTCAGCAATTCAAGACCAGCCTGGCCAACATGATGAAACCCTGTCTCTACTAAAAATACAAAACTTACCTGGGTGTGGTGGTGCACACCTGCAATCCCAGCTACTGGGGAGGTTGAGGCAGGAGAATTGCTTGAACCTGGGAGGCGGAGGTTGCAGTGACCCAAGATTGTGCCACTGCACTCCAGCCTGGGCAACAGAGTAAGACCTTCTTTTAAAAATAAATAAATAAATAAATAAATGTGTGCTAAGGGCCATTAGACAGTGTGATTTTATGCCAACACTGAATGAATGATTGGTGGTTCTTCATCAGAATGAGCTGGAGAATCACCCCAAGAGGCCTTTCCAAATACATCTACACCCTCCCAACATCCCTACCCACAGACCTGGAATTCCCAGAGGCTCATGCCCCTGTATTTCATAATAACCTCCCTAGGTGATTCCAACACATGCCCCAATCAAGAATCACCATCAGGCTGGGCGTGGTGGCTCACGCCTATAATCCTAGCACTTTGGGAGGCCGAGGCAGGCGGATCATTTAAGGTGAGGAGTTTGAGACCAGCCTGGCCAACATGGTGAAATCCCGTCTCTACTAAAAATACAAAAATTAGCCAGGCATGGTAGAGGGCACCTATAATCCCAGCTACTCGGGAGGCTGAGGCAAGAGAATCGCTTAAGCCTCGGAAGTGGAGGTTGCAGTGAGCAGAGACTGTGCCATTGCACTCCAGCCTGGGCAACAGAGCGAGACTCTGTCTCAAAAAAAAAAATTATATATATAAATGTATGTAAATATATATGTAATTTTTTTTTTTTGAGACAGAGTCTCACTCTGTCACCCAGGCTGGAGTGCACTAGCATGATCTTGGCTCACTGCAACCTCTGCCTTCTGGGTTCAAGCGATTCTTCTGCCTCAGCCTCCCGAGTAGCGGGATTACAGGTACCTGTCACCAACCCCAGCTAATTTTTGTATTTTTAGTAGAAACAGGGTTTCAGTTGATTTCCAGTAGCTCTGAAGGAAATAAATTTTTAAAATTTTTAAAAAAGAAATAGGGTTTCACCATGTTGGCCAAGCTGGACTCAAACTCCTGACCTCAGGTGATCTACCTGCCTTGGCCTCCCAAAGTGCTGGGATTACAGGCGTGAGCCATCATGCCTGGCCTATAATTTTCTTAAGGGTCTAGTTGATGGGTTCTGGCCAGAGCCAGAATAAAAGCCAGAACCCGTCTTGTTTTCAAATGTTAAATCTCAGCTGGTGTGTACAGCCAAGTCTCATGAAAGCCAAGCCATAGACAGATGTGTCCTTAGGACCTATCTCTGCCCAAGCTCTCGGAACCCTCCTGGGTACAGCCCGCTGACCACCGCTTGGTGGCTCTCCTTTCGTTGTTGTTGAGACAGAGTCTCCTCTGTCACTCAGGGTGGAGTGCAGTGGTTCGGTCTTGGCTCACTGCAACCTCTGCCTTCCAGGTTCAAGCAATTCTCATGCCTCGGTCTCCAGAGTAGCTGGGATTACAGGCACGTGCCATCATGCCCAGCTAGTTTTTTTGTATTTCAGTAGAGACAGGGTTTCGCCATGTTGACCAGGCTGGTCTTGAACTCCCAACTTCAGGTGATCTGCCTGCTGCAGCCTCCCAAAGTACTGGGATTACAGGTGTAAGCCACTGTACCTGGCTTGTGGCTCTCCATTTTAACAAGGTACTCTAGAAAACCCCAAAGATGCCCAGGTGCTGTGGCTCACGCCTGTAATCCCAACACTTTGGGAGGCCAAGGCGGGTGGATCACGAGGTCAGGAGTTCAAGACCAGTCTGGCCAACATGGTGAAACCCCATCTCTACTGAAAAATACAAAAATTAGCTGGGTGTGGTGGCATATGCCTGCAGTCCCAGCTACTCAGGAGGCTGAGGCAGAAGAATCACTGAAATCCGGGAGGTGGAGGTTGCAGTGAGGCGAGATCACACCACTGCACTCTAGCCTGGGTGACAGAGTGAGACTCTGTCTCAGAAAAAGAAAAAAATGCCGGGCTCGGTGGCTCAAGCCTGTAATCCCAGCACTTTGGGAGGCTGAGGCGGGTGGATCATGAGGTCAAGAGATCGAGACCATTATGGTCAAAATGATGAAACCCCGTCTATACTAAAAAAAAAAACAAACACAAAAAATTAGCTGGGCATGGTGGTGCGTGCCTGTAATCCCAGCTACTGAAGAGGTTGAGGCAGGAGAATTGCCTGAACCCAGGAGGAGGAGGTTGCGGTGAGCCGAGATCACGCCATTGCACTCCAGTCTGGGTAATAAGAGCGAAACTCCGCCTCAAAAAAAAAAAAAAAAAAAAAGAAAGAAAGAAAAAGAAAAAAATAAAAACACAAAAAGCAACCAAAGACCTCAAGACTCACAGGGAACAAATCTGGAATGATAGAACACTGGAGGCTGGAATAAAACTTGAGAAACCAGAGGGTCCCCTTAAATCCAGCTACAGGTCACCCAACCTTAAAAGTGGCAATTCTAGGCACATCTGTGCATGCCAGCAGGGCCACCAGGCCATGGATACACCCCACAGACACCATTTTACCCTCACCGGCAGCCAAAGCACGAAAGGGCCTGGGCTTCTCCTGGCCTCCGGTGTTGGCAGCAAGAGATTCAATGGTGTCCTCGGGCACGGCTTCACTTCTGGGCCTTTTCACCGAGGCCAGTCCCTCCTCCGCAGCCTATGAAGAGAAGACCCAATCAGCTAGAATAGGAAGAAACAGAAAACCAGTACCTCCTCTTCCTGGGGTGAACTGAAGAAGCCAAACCACACCAATTCAACATGAACAGAGTCACCCAGTACCCACTTCAACCATGCCCACCTCGTGCTCCCTCTTCTTGCTGCCGGCTCCCTCTGGCTGCTCCCCATCCATCTCTCGGCTGGGCTGCTTAGGTCCAGGGTCGTCTGGGTGTATTTCTTTCTTCCTTAGGAATTCTGTGATTCCTAATGACTCAGCAACCTGAAAAGGAATGGGCCAAGAGAATAAACTTCACCCAAACAGCACACGCCCCCCAGAAGCACATTCATATGCAAGAATTAAACGACTTCATAGAATTAAATCTACAAAGTTCCTTTGTACCGTGAGGTGCGATCTCAACAATGAGAAAGATGAAGGTAAATATAATGTTAGATGGACTAGCTGATGATAAAATGGATCATTATCAAAACAAGAAGGTTCTATGTGAGCACAATTTAGAGGAGGAGACCAAAACTTTTTTTTTTTTTTTTTTTGAGACAGAGTCTCACTCTGTCACCCAGGCTGGAGTGCAGTGATGCAATCTCGGCTCACTGCAACCTCCGCCTCCAAGATTCAAGTGATTCTCCTGCCTCAGCCTCCTGAGTAGCTGGGATTACAGGTGCACACCACCACGCCTGGCTAACTTTTGTATTTTTAGTAGAAATGGGGATTCACCATGTTGGCCAGGCTGGTCTTGAACTCCTGGCCTCAAGTGATCCACCCACCTCAGCCTCCCAAAGTGTTGGGATTACAGGCATGAGCCTCCGTGCTCAGCCCAAACAGTCTTTATAAAAAATTTAAAACACTCTCTTTAATTCTGTCACAGGCTTAATAATGTTAGCTGATACCATGGTAACTTTGTTTCCCACCATCCCTCCTCTACTGAATTCTCACGGGTCTCTTCAGAAAAATGATCCTGCCTACCCCACACCCAGATCTCCCTTCCCAGATGGTAAAAAGGCATGGCTTTGGGGGCCTGAGCTGGATCCCAGCTTCTCCGCCCACGGCCTGGGTGGTCTTGGCAAGCCACCATCTCCCTGAATCTCCCTTGCCCATCTGGAAGCTGCCTGGAAGGGCTTTTGTGAAGATGAGATTTGACTCCATATGCAATGCCTATCCTATGCAAAACACCATATGGGAAGGTATTAAGAGACAGCTGTTAGCATTTATACATGGACGTTACAGAGATAACTCCACAGAGCATGAGATGGAGGTGGGCACAGCGGGAAGGCAGGCAGAACAAGGCTAAAGGAGAAGACGGGCTGTGAGGGTTAGCTGCTTAAAAAGCCAGAGTCTGGGCCGGGCGCGGTGGCTCAAGCCTGTAATCCCAGCACTTTGGGAGGCCGAGGCGGGTGGATCACAAGGTCGAGAGATCGAGACCAACCTGGTCAGCATGGTGAAACCCCGTCTCTACTAAAAATACAAAAAATTAGCTGGGCATGGTGGCGCATGCCTATAATCCCAGCTACTCAGGAGGCTGAGGCAGGAGAATTGCCTGAACCCAGGAGGCGGAGGTTGCGGTGAGCCGAGATCGCGCCATTGCACTCCAGCCTGGGTAACAAGAGTGAAACTCCGTCTCAAAAAAAAAAAAAAAAAAAAAAAAAAAAAAGCCAGAGTCTGTAGGGCATGGGTGGGTGGGGTGTGTGTGTGTGTGTGTGTGTGTGTGTGTGTGTGGTCAGTTCTGCTTCAAGGCAGTACTGTTAAACTCAGAGTTTAAAAAACACACAAGTGACTGCTGTGTGTGCAGGGCATCTATATGAGGCTTAGCAGAAACCTTTTAAAATTTAAGAAAATAAGGCTGGGCACAGTGGTTCATGACTGTAATCCCAGAACTTTGGAAGGCTGAGGTGGGTGGATCACTTTAGGTCAGGAGTTTGAGACCAGCCCGGACAACATGGTGAAACCCTGTCTCCAGTAAATATACAAAAATTAGCTGGGTATAGTGGTGCACACCTGTAGTCCCAGCAACTTGGGAGGCTGAGGTGGGAGAATCACTTGAACCTGGGAGGCAGAGGTTGCAGTGAGCTGATATCGCACCATTGCACTCCAGCCTGGGCAACAGTGAGACTCCGTCTCAAAACAACAAAAAACACCCAAAAAAATCCAGTGTAGCTAAAGGCAATTTCATAACAACAATGACATTGGAATGAGAATTGTGTCAGAACAACCACCACAAACAATAATGAATAGTCCCTATATAACCCATCCCCAAAAACCCACATAAAGAAGAAAACAAGGCTGGGTGTGGTAGTTCATGCCTGTAATCCTAGCATTTTGGGAGGCCAAGAAGGGAGGATCACTTGAGCCCTGGCATTCAAGACCAGACTGGACAACATAGCCAGACCCCATCTCTAAAAAAAATTTAAAAATCAGCTGGGCATGCTGACCCATGCTTGTAGTCCCAGCTACTCAGGAGGCTTATGTGGGAGGATTGTTTGGGATCAGGAGATTGAGGCTGCAGTGAGCTGTAATTTCGTCACTGCACTCCAGCCTGGGAGACAGAGGGAAACCCCATCTCAAAACATAAAAAGAAGAAAATGATACCTGAGGTTTTAACTCTGATCATCAAGTGAGTATGAGGATTATGGTGTTTTCCATTTTAAGTTATCTTCATTTTTGAGTTTTCTAAAAGAGCATTTATTGCTTTAAAAAAATAATTGGGGGCCAGATGTGGTGGCTCACACCTGTAATCCTAGCACTTTGGGAGGCCAAGGTGAGCTCAAGTTTGAGACCAGCCTGGGCAACACAGTGAGACCCCATCTCTACTAAAATACAAAGTATTAGCTGAGGCCGGGTGCAGTGGCTCAAGCCTGTAATCCCAGCACTTTGGGAGGACGAGGCGGGTGGATCACAAGGTCAAGAGATCGAGACCATCCTGATCAACATGGTGAAACCCCGTATCTAATAAAAGAAAATACAAAAATTAACTGGGCATGGCAGAGTGCACCTGTAATCCTAACTACTTGGGAGGCAGAGGCAGAAGAATTCCTTGAATCCAGGAGGCAGAGGTTGCAATAAGCTGAGATCGCACCACTGCACTCTAGCCTGGGCGACAGAGTGAGACTCCATCTCCAAAAAAAAAAAAAAAAAAAAAATTTCACTTGATGGGAAAAAGCTAAAATGGTGTTTATTAGGAAAATGTCGTTACTAAAAACATTCTCCTTCATTCATGGAGTTTTTTATTTTTTGAGACAGAGTCTCACCGTGTCACCCTGGCTGGACTGCAATGGTGCAATCTCAGCTCACTGCAACCTCCACCTCCTAGGTTCCAATGATTCTTGTGCCTCCGCCCCCAGAATAACTGGGATTAGAGGCATGTGCCACCATGCCCAGCTAATTTTGTATGTTTAGTAGAGACTAGGTTTTGTCACGTTAACCAAGCTGGTCTCGAACTCCTGATATCTAGTGATCCACCTGCCTCAATCTCCCAAAGTGCTGGGATTACGAGCGTAAGCCACTGCACCTGGCCCTTCTTTCTTTTGGCTAACTCTATGAGCAAAACTCTTTCTGCCATGGAAGACTGTTACCTTATTATCATTTATTTCCAGGGTCTCCTGAGAACACAGACCGGAACTACTGAGGTAATCTCCGCACATTTGCTTAACCATTTGATGCAACTCTTCAAATTCCTTATAGACAGCTGGGAAAAAAGGCTTTGCTAGATGATTTTTTTCAACCTTCATGAAGATAAAGATAAAAAAAAAGTTTAAACCCGAGGTACTGATATAGAAAATACAGAAGAAAATCTCAACAAAGTTTCGGTTCCTTAACCCCTCAGCAGCTACTCTGGTGTGCACTTCCTTTGGTCCCCAGTGAGCACCTACCATGTGCCCCGCATGGTGCAGGGAAGCCAGAATGGGCAGGAAGGAGCAGGCCAAGGAACAAACAAGTCTTGGGTGGAGGCCACGGAGGGCAGGGGTGAGCTCCCAGGACAGGGCAGGAAGGAAGGGCAGAGAGGCCCTGAGCCCCAGCTGGGCTGTAAGCTCTGGAGGGAGTGCGGGGCACAGGCAGCCTGGGCGGCAGCCTCAGAGTGGGCTCAGGGAAGAGAGCCTGGGCAGAAGAGGCCAGTTGGAGCGAGCTGGGGCCAGGAGAGCCCAGGCTGGCCATTATTTGTGGCTGCCACTTCCATTCCTCCTGTACCAAGTTAAAACAGTCAAGTGAGTGGACGGGCACCTGGCCGAGACATGCAGCTACCCAGGCACCGGCCCCCACACCAGGCACTGTGCATGACCAGCAGGTTCACTTCAGCTGTTCTGGAAAAGGCAAATGATTCCAAATGGCCTGGCACTTTCTAAAATAACTATTAGCTTAGCAAGGTGGCTCATACCTATAATCCCGCCCCCTTGGGAGGAGGATTACTTGAGGTCAGGAGTTTGAGACCAACCTAGGCAACAAAGCTAGACCCCATCTCTACAAAACAATTCTTTTTTAAATAAATTAAAAATTAGCCATTTGTGGCAAGGCGCAGTGGCTCATGCCTGTAATCCCAGCACTTTGGGAGGCCAAGGTGGACAGATCATGAGGTCAGGAGTTTAAGACCAGCCTGGCCAATATGATGAAACCTCGTCTCTACTAAAAATACAAAAATTCACTGGGCGTGGCAGTGCACACCTGTAGTCCCAGCTACTTGGGAGGCTGAGGCAGGAGAATCACTTGAATCCAGGAGGTAGAGGTTGCAGTGAGCCAAGATCACGCCACTACACTCCAGCCTAGGTGACACAGCACACTCCTTCTCAAAAAAAAAAAAAAAAAAAATTAGCCAGGTGTGATGGTCCAAGCCTGTAGTCCCAGCTACTTGGGAGGCTGAGGTGGATGGATTGCTTGAACCCAGCAGTTTGAGGCTGCAGTGAGCTATGATGGCACCACTACACTCCAGCCAGGGTGACAGAGCAAGACCCTGTCTCAAAAATAAAATCAAACAACCATGCAGGTTATTGAAAGAGAATAAGTAAATAATAACATTATTTCTAAATAACTTTTAATCACCCCTCTATCATTTAGAAACACTAAGAGGACTCACCTTCATCAGAAGAAACTCATACACGGTCACAACCTGAGCCATCCGAGGTAGAGCCAATTCCACCAGATCTTCCCGGTCACACTGCTGGAGAAACTACCAAGGGAAGGTGTTCCATGCCTTTGAATGCCCCGCAAGAATTTCCCAATAGCCAACAAGTTGGTGCAATACACAACATAAAAAAACACAAAGTTCTCCAAAAATTTCAGTGACCAAGTAACTCTAAACATTCTACTTTATTAACTCTCTCACTCGTTGGCTCCTTAGTGAAGTGCATGAGCTAATTCTGGGTACCCCACAACACTGTCCTGGGTACAGGCCCCGGAATAAGCACACAGTGATGAGGGCAGGTGTGTCCTGCCCTCCAGGACTCACCCAGGCTGTGCCACATGGTCAGGTGAGGGACCAGCATAGCTAGAGGCGGTGCCTGGAGACAGGCAAGCCAGAAGGGCTAAAGGGCAACCCAGGCCCAGGCTGAGAGGGGCCGAAGGGTTTGGATTCCCTTCTCCAGGCAGCTGTGGAGGGAGGTTTTAGGAAGGTGCCTCAGGTGGTGGTGCAGAGGATGGGGTGGGGCTGGAAGTCCGGCAAGCAGTCAGGACTACCCGCAAAGTACAAGCAAGAGAAGATGAGGGCTCAGGTAAGAACAGGGATTGTGGGTGGCAGGGGAGGGAGGGAGATGCGGGCAGGGCACAGCCCTCCAGGGTTAGCGATCACAGGACATGGGGAGGGTAAGTGAAGGAGAACATCAAGAATGCCTCTGGGTTCCCAGCTTGAGCCTGGGTAGGTACAGCGGGCCCTGACAATGCAGGGGTGGACAGGAAGCCAGCTTGTGGGCTCTGCTCAGACATGGAAGGCTTCATAGGACAGCCAGGTAGAGACATTTCAATGAAGAGATCTGAGACACCAGAGAGAGGTCTGAACGGGAAGCATGGGAGTTCTGCAGAGGGAAGAAGGCCTAGGAAAGCAGGAGGACAGTGAGATCCTCAGGGAAGCAATAAAGTGCGGGGGAATCTGAGGAAGTCCTAGAAACAGGAAGTCTTCTGAGGTCCAGGGAGATCACAAGATCAGTGCTTAGAAGGCCAGGCACAGTGGCTCATGCCTGTAATCCCTGCAATTTGGTAGGCCAAGGCAGAAGGATCGCTTCAGGCTAGTTGAGACCAGCCTGGACAACATAATGAGACCCTTTCTCTTAAAAATTAACTGGGTGTGGTGGTGTGTGCCCATGGGCCAAGTTACTCGGGAGGCTGACACAGGAAGATCACTTGAGCCTGGGATGTGAAGGCTGCATGAATCATGATTGAGCCACTGCACTCCTTGGTGACAGAACAAAACCCTCTCTCAAAAAAAAAGATTGGCATTTAGGGAGAGAGCAAGAGATTGAGTAGGAGCTGCAAAGGGCTGGAAGGGCTTCAGACAAGGGCCACAGATGCTCATTAAACAAGCAGAAAAGCTAAAGAAAAGTGTTTAATTAGGACTTTCAAAAACCCTTTGAGGCTGGGCATGGTGGCTCACTCCTGTAATCCCAGCACTTCGGGAGGCCATGGTGGGCAGATTACCTGAGGTCAGGAGGTCGAGACCAGCCTGACCACCATGGAGAAACCCCATCTCTACTAAAAATGCAAAATTAGCAGGGTGTGGTGGTGCATGCCTGTCATCCCAGCTACTCAGGAGGCTGAGGCAGGAGAATTGCTTGAACCCGGAATCAGGCTGCAGTGAGCCAACATCATGCCATTGCACTCCAGCCTGGGCAACAAGAGCGAAATTCTGTCTCAAAAAAAAAATCCTTTGAAAGAAATGACCAGCTGACTTTCAACTCCACAGGAAGTGGGGGAAGGTGGGAATACAGGGTATTACCTTGCCATGACCTGACCTGAATTCTGGAGGAGCTTAATAACAACAAACAGGGAAACACCTCAAATTTCTGCTTCCCACTCAGGTTCAAAGGACAGTTTTGTCAGGTGACTGGTCTGACTGTCATCTTTCTCCCTGGAGAGCAGGGCTCTGTCTATCTTGTGTACACTGTCCCCTCCATCCCTAGTACAGGGACTGATACTTGATGGACACCCAGTAAATGTGTAAATTAATGTCCATTTCTGGAGAAATTATCATCTGTGAGTCAAGAATGGTCCTGAAACCATTTCCATTATTTTCTAAACTGCTCCCATACAAACACAGGTTATAATCATTCCAAAATTTATCAAGGCCAGCAGCTTTTGGAGCTACACTGAAGGCCACATAGTCCCTTTAAATAGGTGAGAGGATGAATGAGTTCAGAAACTACTGTCCTTGGCTTTATCACACAATACAATGACATTTCAGGTGAACTGTTTAGGTGATCTGGGTATTTTACCTTTTTTTTTTTTTTTTTTGAGATGGAGTCTCGCTCTGTCACCAGGCTGGAGTGCAGTGGCGTGATCTCAGTTCACTGCAACCTCCACCTCCAGGGTTCAAGCGATGCTCCTGCCTCAGCCTCTCGAGTAGCTGGGACTACAGGCACCTACCACCGTGCCCACCTAATTTTTGTATTTTTAGTAGGGATGGAGTTTCACTATGTTGGCCAGGCTGTTCTCGATCTCTGGGTATTTGACTTGTAAATTCAGAAACTAATAGTGAATTACCACATACCATGCTAAAGACACAGGTTTCAAGCACAGGGTTGTAAGAATGAGGTACCTCCTTGAGCCTGGCTTTGCTTGGCGACGCCCTCTGCTCTCCAGCTGCAGCAGGGCCACCATGTGGCTGAGTGGCTCTTCTCTGAAGGAGTACAGCTGTGTGGGACTCTGCAGGGGTCTCTGAGCATGAGCGACTTCTAGGTCCTTGGTATCTCTCTGATCCCAAAAGAGCTCCATTTTCTGGTTCAGATGACAATGTCTCTTCAACGTCTGCAGACTGACCATTCCAGACAGTGTTGCCAAAATAAAATAAAACAAGCATGATTTATATACCCCATAGAAACCTTTCAGTGGCCACAAGCAATGGCTCATGCCTGTAATCCCAGCACTTTCCTTTCAGTGGCCACAAGCAATGGCTCATGCCTGTAATCCCAGCACTTTGGGAGGCTAAGGCGGGTTGATCACCTGAGGTCGGGAGTTTGAGGCCAACCTGACCAACATGGTGAAACTTCCATCTCTACTAAAAATACAAAAAATTAGCTGAGTGTGGTAGCCTGTGCCTGTAGTCCTGGCTACTTGGGAGGCCGAGGCAGGAGAATCACTTGAACCCAGGAGGTGGAGGTTGCAGTGAGCCAAGACGGCGCGACTGCACTCCAGCCTGGGTGACAAAGTCAAACTCTGTCTCAAAACAACAACAATAACAAAAAACAAACAAAAACCCACCTTTTTATTTAAATTTTAGATTCTGGGATACATGTGCAGGTTTGTTACAGAGCATACTATATAATCTGAGTTTTTCAACCCTTGCTGTCCTCCCTCCTTCCCTGCCATAAAAGCCTTAAAGCAGAAAAATGTCAAGTCAAAAGCAATGAACTCGCTAAATTATTTCTTCTTCACCTCATCAAGCCATATCAACTACAATCAACACATCTTAAATGTTCCCAACAAAGCACCCCTTTTGGACACAGGATCAATATTAGCTAGGCAGGCTAGCTGTGGTGGCTCACACCTGTGGGAAGCCAAGGCAGGAGGATCACTTGAGCCCAAGAGTCGGAGACCAGCCTGGGCAACATAGTGAGACTCCATCTCTACCAAAAAAAAAAAAAAAAAAAAAAAAAAAAAAATTAAGTTAAAAAAAAAATTGGCCAGGCACAGTGGCTCATGCCTGTAATCCCAGCACTTCAGGAGGCCAAGGCAAGAGGATTGCTTGAGCCCAGAACTTTGAGAGCAGCCTCTACAACATTGTAAAACCCTATTTCTACAAACATACCAAAATTAGCCAGGTCTGGTGGTGTGCTCTACAATCCCAACTACTTGGGAGGCTGAAGTGGGAGGACTGCTTGAGCACAGGAGGTTGAGGCTGCAGTGAGCCATGATTGCACCACTGTACTCCAGCCTGGGCAACAGAGCAAGACCTGTCGCACACGCACATGCACACGCACAAATTAGCCAGGCATGGTGGTGCTTGAGAGGCTGGATCACTTGAGCCCCAGAGATCGAAGCAGCAGTGAGCCATGACTGCACCACTGCAAGAGAATAGGACCCTGTCTCAAAAATAAAAATAAAAATAAAAATACGCCGGGCGCGGTGGCTCAAGCCTGTAATCCCAGCACTTTGGGAGGCCGAGGCGGGTGGATCACGAGGTCAAGAGATCGAGACCATCCTGGTCAACATGGTGAAACCCCGTCTCTACTAAAAATACAAAACATTAGCTGGGCATGGTGGCACGTGCCTGTAATCCCAGCTTCTCAGGAGGCTGAGGCAGGAGAATTACCTGAACCCAGGAGGCGGAGGTTGCGGTGAGCCGAGATCGCGCTATTGCACTCCAGCCTGGGTAACAAGAGCGAAACTCCGTCTCAAAATAAATAAATAAATAAATAAATAAAAAATAAAAATAAAAATAAAAATAAATATATATTAGCTAGCCTGTAAGTCCGGGGTAGCAAACTAACCCTGGGATATTGACCAACATGAAACAAAAGACTTCTCTGATGTGAGTGTCACCTTAAAACATGACCTGAATTTTGTTCCTAATTCATTACTTATCCAAGACCTTTTAAGCTGTTTAATTATTTTACTGGATATACTTTAAATACCATAGATTTCATCCTTTGAAAGTATATAATTCAGTGGATATAATATATTCACAAAAGCATGTAGCCATCACCACTATCTAATTCCAGAGTGGTTTCATCACCTCAGAAAGAAACTGCACCCACGCCTTCTGGCTCTCTGAGCAGCACCGTGGCGGTCAGCAAGAGCAAGCACCTTACGAGAGGCGACAGAAAGGGGACCAAGAAGAAGGTGGCTGATCCATTTTCTAAGAAAGATTGGTATGATGTGAAAGCACCCGCTATGTTCAATATAAGAAATATTAGAAAGACACTAGTCACCAGGACCCAAGGAACTGAAATTGCATGTGATGGCCTCAAGGGTCGAGTGTTTGAAGTGAATCTTGCTGATTTGCAGAATGATGAAGTTGCATTAGGAAATTCAAGCTGATTACTGAAGACGTTCAGGGCAAAAACTGCCTGACGAACTTCAGGGCAAAAACTGCCTGACGAACTTCCATGGCATGGATCTTACCCATGAAAAATCTGTTCCATGGCCAAAAGATGGCAGACAATGACTGAAGCTCATGCTGATGTCAATACTAGCGATGGTTACTTGCTTCGTCTGTTCTGTGTTGCTCTTACTAAAAAATGCAACAATTAGATACGGAAGACCTCTTAGGCTCAGCACCAACAGGTCCGCCAAACTGGAAGAAGATGATGGAAATCATGACCCGAGAGATGCAGACATGAGTTGAAAGAAGTGGTCAGTAACTGATCCAGGCAGCATCGGAAAAGACATAGAAAAGCCTTGCCAATCCATTTACCCTCTCCATGATGTCTTCGTTAGAAAAGCAAAATGCTGCAGAAGCTCAAGTTTGAACTGGGAAAACTCATGGAGCTTCATGGTGAAGGCAGTGGTTCTGGAAAAGCCACTGGGGACGAGACACTGCTAAAGTTGAAGGAGCTGATGGATATGAACCACCAGTCCAAGAATCTGTCTAAAGTTCAGCCTTATAATAGTGGCAAATAAAAAGCCTTATTTGTGATCGTAAAAAAAACAAAAAACAAAACTACACCCATTCGAGGTCACTCCTCCTCCCTCCCCCACAGGCCCCACAGCCACCAGTCTACTTTCTGTCTCCATGGATCTGCATGGGTTTTGAAGAGACTCCCAGATCTGACACCGTCCTCATTCCCTGACAGTTCCTTCCTCTGAAAATAGGAATTATAAAATAGAAAACTAAAATAAAGGTTGAGCCCGTTGGCTCATGCCTGCAATCCCAGCACTCTGGGAATCCAAGGTGGGTGGATCACCTGAGGTCAGGAGTTTGAGACCAGCCTGGTCAACATGGTGAAATCCCATCTCTACTAAAATTACAAAAATGAGCCGGGTGTGGTGCTGCACACCTGTAATTCCAGCTGCTCAGAAGGCTGAGGCAGAAGAATCACTTGAACCCAGGAGGTTTGTGAGCTGCAATCGCACCACACCACTACACTCCAGCCAGGGCAACAGAGAGAAACTCTGTCTCAAAAAATAAAAAAAGAGAGAGAGAGAGAATTATAACAGAATATTAAATACTATAAACTACTGTCTAGCTGGGCGCGGTGGCTCAAGCCTGTAATCCCAGCACTTTGGGAGGCCGAGGCGGGTGGATCACAAGGTCAAGAGATCGAGACCATCCTGGTCAACATGGTGAAACCCCGTCTCTACTAAAAATACAAAAAATTAGCTGGGCATGGTGGTGCGTGCCTGTAATCCCAGCTACTCAGGAGGCTGAGGCAGGAGAATTGCTTGAACCCAGGAGGCGGAGGTTGCGGTGAGCCGAGATCGCGCCATTGCACTCCAGCCTGGGTAACAAGAGTGAAACTCCGTCTCAAAAAAAAAAAAAAAAAAACTACTGTTTATAGTATTTAAACAGTAAATAATGTTAGTGCACACCTGTAATTCCAGCTACTAGAAAGTCTGAGGCAGGAGAATTACTTGAACCAAGGGGGTAGAGGTTGCAGTGAGCCAAGATCATGCCACTGCACTCCAGCCTTGGCAACAGAGTGAGACTCTGTCACACACACACACACACACACACACACACACACACAAAACCATTAGGCTGGGCATGGTGGCTCACCCCTGTAACCCCAGCACTTTGGGAGGCCGAGACAGGTGGATCACCTGAGGTCGGGAGTTTGAGAGCAGCCTGACCAACATAGAGAAACCCTGTCTCTATTAAAAATACAAAATTAGCCAGGCATGATGGTGCATGTCTGTAATCCCAGCTATTCAAGAGGCTAAGGCAGGAGAAATGCTTGAACCCAGGAGGAGGTTGCAGTGAGCCAAGATCGTGCCATTGTACTCCAGCCTGGCAACAAGAGCGAAACTCCATCTCAAAAAAAAAAAAAAAAAAAAAAAAAAAATTAGCCAGGTGTAGAGGCAGGCACCTGTGGTCCCAGCTACTTGGGAGGCTGAGGTAAGAGAACAGCTTGAACTTGGGAGGCAGAGGTTGCAGGGAGCTGAGATCATGCCACTGCACTCCAGCGTGGGAAACAGCAGGCAAGAGAAAGTCAGACTCTGTCTTAAAAAAATCAGGCTGGGCGTGGTGGCTCATGCCTGTAATCCCAGCACTTTGAGAGGCCAAGGTGGGCAGATCATGAGGTCAAGAGATCGAGACCATCCTGGTCAACATGGTGAAACCCCGTCTCTACTAAAAATACAAAAAACTAGCTGGGCATGGTGGCACGTGCCTGTAGTCCCAGCTACTCAGGAGGCTGAGGCAGGAGAACTGCTTGAACCAAGGAGGCAGAGGTTGCGGTGAGCCAAGATCGCGCCACTGCACTCCAGCCTGGTGCCTGGCGGCAAATCAAGACTCTGTCTCAAAACAAACAAACAAAAAAAAAACAAGAAGAAGAAAGAAAGAAAGAAAAGAAAGGTAAATGAAATTTTAAGAAATGAATAAATGAAATCAGCAATGCAGTAGCATACAAAGTAAATACACAGGACAGGTGTGATGGCTCATGCCTGTAATCCTAGCACTTTGGGAGGCTGAGGTAGGCAGATCATTTGAGGTCAGGAATTTGAGACCAGCCTGGCCAACACGGTAAAACCTCGTCTCTGCTAAAAATATAAAAAATTAGTGGTAGTGCATGCCTGTAGTCCCAGTTACTCGGGAGACTGAGGCAGGAGAATCACTCAAACCTGAGGCGGAGGTTGCAGTGAGCTGAGACCGTGCCACTGCCCTCCAGCCTGGGCAACAGAGCCAGAGTCAAAAAAAAAAAAAAAAAAAGTAAATACACAAAAATCAGCTGCATTTCTAAACACTAACAATGAACAATATGAAAAGTAAATAAATAAAATAATTCTACTTAAAATCTAGCAATTCCACTTCTGGATCTGTACCCCCAAAAATTGAAAGCAGGGTCTCAAAGAGGTAATTGAACACCCATATTCATAGCAGCATCATTCAAAATAGGCAAAAGGCAGAAGCAACCCAAGAGTCCATGGACAGATGAATGAATAAGCAAAATGTAGTATGCACACACAATGCGTTATTACTCAGCCTACAGAGGAAGGACATTCTTATAATCACTACAGCGGGAACCCTGGGGATATTTTGCCAACTGAAATAAGCCAGTCACAGAAAGACAAATATTCTGTAACTCCACTTCTTTAAGGAAATTATAGTAGTCAAAATCATAGAAGAAAGTAGAATAGTGGCTACCAGAGCTGGGGGAAAGAGGATGGAGAGTTAGTGTTTACAGGGACAGTTTTAGTTTTTTGTTTCTTTTTCACTTGGGCCAACTTGAAGCTCGGAATTTTAGTTTTAGAAGATGAAAGTGTTCTGGAGATATGTGGTGTGGGATGTTTGCTGCACAACACTGTGAATGTATTTAATACCCCGAACCACACACTTAACTATGGTTAAGATGGTAAAAGTCGTGCCATGTGTATTTTCCTACAATTTTTTTTTTTTGAGACAGAGTTTCGCTCTTGTTGCCTAGATTGGAGTGCAATGGCACGATCTCAGCTCACTGCAACCTCTGCCTCCCAGGTTCAAGTGATTCTCTTGCCTCAGACTCTCAAGTAGCTGGGATTACAGGGGTGCAATACCTAGAGACAGAGTTTCACCATGTTGCCCAGGCTGGTCTCGAACTCCTGACCTCAGGTAATCTGCCTGCCTCAGCCTCCTAAAGTGCTGAGATTACAGGTGTGAGCCACCGCACCCAGCTCAATAAAATATTTAGGAAAAAATAATTGTTCATGTGATAATACAAACTCATAGTGACTCACACCGGCTTTATCAGGAGTTTCGGAAGTGGCAGAAGGGGGAGAGCACATGCTAAGCAGCCAGGGGCTGCTGACACTCCAGAAGCACCCCTGGGGACTCCCTTTCTCACCAACACCCTCTGTAATGGCAGCATCAGCCAAGAGTGCGCTGCCATTGGTTTTACCTCCAAACCTAAAGAACTGACACATGCGTTCCCATCAGATGTGCTCACTAAATCATGCCGACACACAGAAGACACGCATCTCCTGGTCATTTGGCAGTAGTGCAGACAACATGGGGTCTCAGATCCACTAGAATGATTCTGGTCCCGCTTAAGCCTTTGCCTGAGTTCCCATCAGACACCGTAAAGGTCAATTTAAGGATGATGAGCAGGCAGGGACAGGAGTAAGGACTGATTTGGTCTGAATCTGTGTCCCCATCAAATCTCATGTTGAAGTGTAATCCCCAGCGTTAGAGGTGGGACCTGGTGAGAGGTGAGTGCTGGATCATGGGGCAAAACCCTCATGGCTGATTTAGCACCATCCCCTTGGTACTAAACTCATGATAGTGAGTTCTCATGGTATCTAGTTGTTTAAAAGTGTGTGGTGGCCAGGCATGGTGGCTCACACCTGTAATCCCAGCATTTTGGGAGGCCGAGGCAGGCAGATCACCTGAGGTCAGGAATTCGAGATCAGCCTGGCCAACACGGTGAAACTCCATTTCTACCAAAAACACAAAAATTACCCAGGTAATTTGGTGGTGGGTGCCTGTAATCCCAGCTACTGGGGAGGTCCAGGCAGGAGAATTGCTTGAATTGGGGAGGCGGAGGTTGCAGTGAGCCAAGACAAGGCCACTACACTCCAGCCTGGGTGACAGAGGAAGGATCTGTCTCAAAAAAAATAAATTCATAAAATAAAATAAAAAAGAATATGTGGCACCTCCCCCTGGCCCCTTGTTCCTGCTGTGACCATGTGATACACCTGCTTCTACTCTGCCTTCGCGGAGACTCTGTTTCCAGAGGCCTCCCCAGAAGCCAAGCAGATGCCAGGACTATGCTTCCTATACAGTCTGTGAAACCGTAAGCCCGCTAAACCTCTTTTCTTTATAAAATACCTTGTTTCAGGTATTTCTTTATAGCAATGTGAGAACAGCCAAATACATAGACATAAACCCAGACAGAAACATTACCTGCAGGCCACTGCGTGCTGACTCTGTCACCAAGCAAGAGCGGGCCCCTCCCTCATGCAAAGCTGCTGGCGTGGACAGCCCCCGGGAGGTCAGGCTGAGTGTCCTTTCCTCGGTGCCCCCTGGGAGGGTGCTCCCATTGGCTTTCTCAGACAGCACCATCTCGGGATCCAGTGGGCCATGGCCTGGGTTAAGTTTAAAATGCCGGGCCAGTCCGCCCTTCCCTATATATGACTTTTCACAAGTTTGACACTTAAAGCCTTTGGGCCTCAGGGAGCAGCTCGGGAAGTCAAAAATCGCGTGCCTCTCCCTCTGATCTTCATCTTCTTCCACACTGAGTTCTGAATAATCATCAGAATCTGACAGATGACCATCTGCCAAATCCTCTGTTTTTATGAACTTATAATCTTTAGCTTTGTACTTGGGAGGTCGAGATATCCGTCCAGAACGTGTCTTTACTTTTAACGACTTTTTTAGTTTCTCAGTATGTTTTGTATGCAAGTTTGAAATAAATCGGTGTGCTGAACTGGATGAAACAGATGTTACTGCCAGTGGGTCAGAGGCCAACAAGGGGTTCAACATGGAGCCCTGTCCATCTGCGGCCTTGGGGGCTGGGACTTTCTTTGCAGGGACTGCCTGGAGGGCTGGCAGTGGTCCCTGTACAAATGCCTGAGCAGAAGGTTGGCGTAAGTCACTTAGGAGGCACGACTGTGGCTCAGTTCTCACAAGCGGCTGTACAATGAGCAGCTGAGGCCTGGTGACATGGAGCCCCATCAGGCAGGAACTCCCCTGGGGCAGCTGGCTTTGTCTTGCAGTTTGGGGATGGAAGGGCACCAGCCTTTCCTGACCTTTCATTTCTCCAGATGTTACCTTGACACAAATGGCTTCTAGTTGCTTACATACAGAAAGACAAGAAAGAGAAAAAAAGCATTGTGCTTATCAACATGTCTGCAACTTGGCTTTCATGATAAATCTATTATTGACACTTTTTTTTCCTTTTTTGAGATGGAGTTTCACTTTTGCTGCCCAGGATGGAGTGCAATGGTGCAATCTCAGCTCACTGCAATCTCTGCCTCCCAGGTTCAAGCAGTTCTCCTGCCTCAGCCTCCCAAGTAGCTGGGATTACAAGGGTGCATCACCACACCCAGCTAATTTTTCTATTTTTAGTAGAGATGAGATTTCTCCATGTTGATCAGGTTGGTCTCAAACTCCTGACCTCAGGTGGTCCACTCGCCTTGGCCTCCCAAAGTGCTGGGATTACAGGCATGAGCCACAGCACCTGGCCGGTCATGATTGACATTTTTTTCTAAATTACATCTTTTTTTTTTTTTAAGATGGGGTTTCTCCATGATGGCTAGGCTGGTCTTGAACTCCTGACCTCAGGTGATCCACACACCTCGGCCTCCCAAAGTGTTAGGATTACAAGTGTGAGCCACTGTGCCCGGCCTCTAAATTACATCTTACATATAAAAATTGATGTAGTAGTGAGCAGAGATCACTCCATTGCACTCCAGCCTCGGTGACAAAGGAGATTCTGTCTCAAAAAAAAAAAAAAAAAAGCTGATATAACATGTTTGTTACATAGTAAGGTGGTGTTTTTCAGACCTTTCTGACCAGAGACCACAGTGATATAGGCTGGGCTTGGTGGCTCAGGGCTATTGTAATCCCAGCACTTTGGGAGGCTGAGGAAGGCCGATCACTTGGGGTCATGAGTTCGAGATCAGCCTGGCCAAAATGATGAAACCCCATCTCTACTAAAAATATAAAAATTAGCGCCTGGCTCAGTGACTCAAGCCTGTAATCCCAGCACTTTGGGAGGCCAAGGCGGGTGGATCACGAGGTCAAGAGATCGAGACCATCCTGGTCAACATGGTGAAACCCCGTCTCTACTAAAAATACAAAAAATTAGCTGGACATGGTGGCGCGTGCCTGTAATCCCAGCTACTCAGGAGGCTGAGGTAGAAGAATTGCCTGAACCCAGGAGGCGGAGGTTGTGGTGAGCAGAGATCGCGCCATTGCACTCCAGCCTGGGTAACAAGAGCGAAACTCCGCCTCAAAAAAAAAAAAAAAAATTAGCTGGGTGTGGTGACGCATGCCTATAATCCCAGCTACTCAGGAGGCTGAGGCAGGAGAATCGCTTGAACCCAGGAAGAGGAAGTTGCAGTGAGCTGATCCCGCCACTGCACTCCAGCTTGGGCGACAAAGCGGGACTGCATCTCAAAAAAAACAGAAACAGAAACAGAGGCCACAATGATGCACTATGACCTAGTACACGGGTATATAAATATCAACATACATAAGCAAAATAAAAAGTTGATGGAACTACTTAGCATTCCTACAGAAATGCCCGCTGATTATATCTATTCTACATCATTTTTTTTTTTAAGATTAGGGTCCCAGTCTGTCACCCAGGCTGGAGTGCAGTGGCGCAATATCAGCTCACCGCAACCTCTACCTCTGGGTTTGAGGAATTCTCCCATCTCAACCTCCCAAGGAACTGCCACCACACCCAGCTAATTCTTGTATTTTTTGGTAGAGACAGGTTTCACCATGTTGTCCAGGCTGTTCTCAAACTCCTGACGTCAAGTGAAATACCTGGACCCCCAAAGTGCTGGGATTCCAGGCGTGAGTCACCATCACTTTTTGTTGTTGTTGTTGAGATGGAGTCTTGCTCTATTGCCAGGCTGGAGCACAGTGGCTCAGTCTCAGCTCACTGCAAACTCCACCTTCTTAACAGTTTTACCCATGTGGGTGATGGAATCTGGCTCTGCCGCCCAGGCAGGGCCACTGCAGCCTCTGCCTCCCAGGTTCAAACGATTTTCCTGCCTGAGCCTCCCGAGTAGCTGGGATCACAGGCAAGTGCCACCACGACCAGCTAGAGTGAGTGAGTGAATGGAGTGTGTGTGTGTGTGTGTGTGTGAGTGTGTGTGTGTGTGTGTGTGTGTGTGTGTGTTAGTAGAGACGAGGTTTTACCATGTTGGCCAGGCTGGTCTTGAACTCCTGACCTCAAGTGATCCCACCTTGGCCTCCCAAAGTGCTGGGATTATAGGTGTGAGCCACTGCACTCAGCCTTACCCATGTGTTTTTGCTTGGAGTTTTCAGTACTCTAAAAGTAGATGTAATTCATAATGTGGGCCCATGTTTTTAAAAACTTTTTGGCCAGGTGTGGTGGCTCACGCCTGTAATCCCAGCACTTAGGGAGGTCAAGGTGGGCAGATCACCTGAGGTTGGGAGTTCAAGACCAGCCTGACCAACATGGAGAACTCCCATCTCTACTAAAAAATATAAATATTAGCTGGGCATGGTGGCGAGCACCTGTAATCCCAGCTACTTGGGAGGCCGAGGCAGGAGAATCACTTGAACCTAGGAGTGGGAGGTAGTGGTCAGGTGAGATCGTGCCATTGCACTCCAGCGTGGGCGAAAAAAGCAAAACTCCGTCTCAAAAAAGATCTTTTAATGAAATTCTGGAAGCCACAAAAAAGCCATGAGGAACAGTGTCACGCAGGTTCCTAATGCCCAACCTGCATGCTCGTTTCTTCCCCCGTCCTGAATGTGCTGTTTTGCATTCTTATGCTTTTTAAATATTTATAGCGTATATGCAGATATTTCTAAAAATATATAGTTCAGTTCTGAAATATTCCTTTTTTTTTTTTTTTTTTTTTTTTGAGATGGAGTCTGGCTCTGTCGCCAGGATGAAGTGCAGTATGCAATCTCGGCTCACTGCAAACTCTGCCTCCTGGGTTCAAGTGATTCTCCTGCCTCAGCCTCCCAAGTAGCTGGGACTACAGGCATGCACCACCATGCCCAGCTAATTTTTGTATTTTTTAGTAGAGACGGGGTTTCACCATGCTGACCAGGAAGGTCTCTATCTCTTGACCTCGTGATCCTCCTGTCTCATCCTCCCAAAGTGTTGGGATTACAGGTGTCAGCCACCACGCCCAGCCCAGTTCCAAAATATTCTTAAACTTTAAATGATTGATATCATCTCCTACAACTTGAAAGGGCTTTTGTAGGTTTTATTCCATTTTGCTTTGTGAATTTTATCCACATTAACATGTGTAGGTCTCAGGGGTTCATTCTCTCCGCAGTATGAGGATACTAATCTATTGATGGACAGGTGGGTTTCCAACCTTCTCTTCCTAGGGTCTGCTCTGAATCTTCATGGGCATACGTGTACATGTGTGAGTTTCTCCAGGGGCATGTACCTAGGCATAGGGCTGAGTGTTTTCAACAACTTTTTACAAATATATCTAACAACATTTCAAATACATGTGCTTTTTGACCCAGTAATTCCATTAAAACAAACAAACAAACAAACAAAAAAAAACGCTCAGATGGCCGCAAAGATGTTCTGTTCTATGAGGGTGAAGGCAGCACTGTCTCTAATAGCAAAACACTCACCAAAGGGGAGAACTACCTTCAACAACATCCCGCAGATATTTACTGAGCACAGGCCGCGTGCCAAAAGCACTGTTCCTGGAGTCAGGAAACAGCTTAGGGGAGAAGGTCGGGAAAGCAAAAGAAATGAAGCTCCCGTCCTCACAGAGCAGAAATAACGAGCATTTTCCTCCAGCGAGAAAATGAGGCAAATCACATCATCCAGAGCACAATTTCCCAGCCAACATTTCTCTTCTCTTTTTCTGTCACCCAGGCTGGAGTGCAATGGTGAGATCTCGGCTCGCTGCAACCTCCACCTCCCTAGTTCAAGCAATTCCCCTGCCTCAGCCTCTCAAGTAGCTGGGATTACAGGCGCATGACACCACGCCTGGCTAATTTTTTTTGTATTTTTAGTAGAGATGGGGTTTCACCATGTTGGCCATACTGGTCTCAAACTCCTGAACTGAGGCAATCCACCTGACCCTAGGCAACCCACCTAGGCCTCCCAAAGTGCTGGGATTACAGGCGTGAGCCACCGTGTCCAGCCCAACCAACATTTCAGAACATAACCCTTTGACATGGGTGGCTGGAGGATGCCCAGCAGCATCTCTGCCTCTACCCACTAGATGCCAGTAGTGATCCCAAGTCCTGACAATCAAAGATATTGCCAAGTGCCCTTTGTGGGGCAAAACTGCCCTTCGTTGAGAATCACTTATTTGAGACCACCAATTGGCCCTCTTTGGACTCAGCCTTCTGGTGTGACTCTCAAACGGTGGAACGTCCATAAAAATGTCACACAGGACAGAATAGAGATCCTCACTGAGATGAAGCTGGAGTGTGCCTCTCGTCTCTCTCGTTATACCGGTACAAATAGCAGAGGTCAGCCAACATTTTGTATGAAGAAGAGCTGGCACCACAGCCCTGGAAGCCCCCAACTCCTGGGCTACTTATAAATCAAATGACAACTAGACTGACTGTGCATATCCTTCAGGGACCACAGCTCTTTCATTTTGCTACCAGTCACAGAATATTTCTCTATGGGCCAGACACAGGAGATCACACCTGTAATCCTAGTGTTTTGGGATGCTGAGATGGGAAGACTGCTTGAGGCCAGCAGTTCAGGGTCAGCCTGGGCAAAACAGTGAGACCCTGTCTCTACAAAACATTTTTCTTCTTCTTTTTTTTTTTTTCGAGACGGAGTCTTGCTCTATAACCCAGGCTGGAGTGCAGTGGCGCAATACCAGCTCACTGCAACCTCCGTCTTCCAGGTTCAAGCACTTCTCCTGCCTCAGTCTCCTGAGTAGCTGGGAATACAGGCACCCGCCACCACGCCTGACTAATTTTTCGTATTTTTTAGTAGAGATGGGGTTCACCGTGTTAGCCAGGATGGTCTTGACCTCCTGCCCTCGTAATCTGCCCGCCTCAGCCTCCCTAGGCTAGGCTTACAGGCATGCTAGGATTACAAGCATAAGCCACCACCCCTGGCTTCAAAAAATTTTAAATTAGCCAGGCATGATGGTACATGCCTGTAGCACCAGCTACTTGGGAGGCTGAGGTGGGAGGATCATTTGAGCTTGGGAGTTTGAGATTGCAGTGAGCCAAGATCAGTCCAGCCTAGGTGAGAAAGCAAGACCCTGTCTCCACAAAACCGTAAAACAAAAACAGAATACACACACACACACACACACACAAACACACACACCACCTAAACCCTATTGTTTTAGGATAACCACAGCATCAAAGCCTGACTAATAATGTACTTATCCCCTATCCTAACTGGCTTACCCTGTGGTTATTATGCTTGACACTTTGTTATATGTTTATTTCATTCAGCTCCTTTTACTAAGTATTTCCGGGTGGAATACATACACACTAGCCAAGTCCTAGCCTCACCCTTGAGATGGTGGGTGGTCTCCCCTACCATGCCTCATGGTCCCCACAGACCTGCTGAATCAGGTCTCGTGGGGTGAAGCCCCAAGATCTACCCTTTCAAAAGCTCCACTGACAATTCTGAAGGCAGATAAGGAATGCGGACAGGTGAGGCACGCAGGAAAACAATGTTATGGTACCACAGGTGCAAGGGGCAGGAACAGCCCAGAAGTGGTGGGCAGCCCAGAAGCAGTGATCTCTGAAGGGCATTTTGAAGGCTGGGAATTTTTGCCAGGTGAAAAAGGTCGTACATCCATGTGTAAATGCATGGATGCGTGAAAAGGGGCATGACAGGTTGAGTGGAACTGGAAATTTCTGTGGGGTGGGAAGAGGGAGGATGGGGAGAAACAGGAGCCTTGATCTGACCCAAGTGTGTCCACCTGCTCTGTGCTTTACACCATCCCTCAGAGCGAACCACCTGGACTTCCGCTGTGGTTGCTGAAATGCACCCTGCCACTGGCCCTCAAACCTGCCTCTCCTCTTCTGAATTTTCAACGCAGACGCACCCTTTCAAATCTAGTTCAGATACCACCTCTTCAGCAAAGCTGCTTCTGACCTCCTCAGCCAGAAACAATCTCCTTTCCCTTTTTTTCTTCTTTCTTCTTGACTTTAGATAACCAGACAACAATCTCCCTTTCTCTAAATACATTTAGTTCTTTATCACTATCTTTAGCTTTCTGGCCTTGATTAGAAGGAATCTGGGTCATGGTTTATCTCCTGTTAGTTCATAAACTGCTGAAGGACAAAGTACACGTCCGGTTTTCCTTTGTGGCCTCCATGATGCATCTGGGGCTGAAAGAGTATTAGCAGAAGGTGCTGCAAAGTTACATTACTGCAGTTAGACTTTGCATCATCTCCATTAGATTAGCTACAGAATACAATCTCATCATGCTACCTAACCTTGATAAAGTTTGCCTTTATGAAAAATACGTCATTTTTGGACTTCATTCCAAACCCAAAAAGCTGTGGCCATATTCAGTAGAGTATGCTGAGTACAGGGGCTCGGGAGAGCAGCCACACCTGACGGACCCCGGGCAAAGCCACTCAAACTCCCTGAGCTTATTTCCCACCAGCAAAATGCTGGTACAAAACATTGCGGCACACTGCCTGGCGCAGAGCAGAGGCTCTGCAGATGGCCGCCCCTGGATGGCGTCTTGGAGCCAATCTGACCCAGACCAAAGACCAAAAAGGTTGAGTTACCCAAGGTCACACCTCTGGATAGAGATAGTGTGGCATTTGGGCAGAATCATACTTGTCTTCCTAAATCTTAGCAAGACAACTCTGCAGTCTTGATGATTAACTGGATACAACCCTAGGCAACTAATATCAGTCAAAAAAAACTCACGAGTGAAGATCCCTGATTCTATTCACTAACCCATTTCTTCCAGTGGAATAAGCTCTCTCTTTTTTTTTTTTTTTTTTTTTTTTTTCTTAGATGGAGTCTCGCCCTGTCGCCCAGGCTGGAGTACAATGGTGCGATCTCGGCTCACTGGCTCACTGCAACTTCTGCCTCCCGGGTTCAAACGATTCTCCTGCCTCAGCCTCCCAAGTAGCTGGGATTACAGACGCCCGCCACCACACCCAGCTAATGAAAGCTCTCTTTCCGCAATTTTGGAATGAGACTAATTTTGTTTACAACCCCAGCGCTAGAATGGGATGGAATTTTACAGATGACGTGTAGGACCTCAGGCTTCAGGCGCTATGCTACACCCTCCGGACTGGGGCGACCACATCCCTAGGAAATAAACCCACTGAGAAAGGCTGTTTCGTAGTATAAGAGTGCTTTCACATACTCCAAACATTAAGTGTGCATGCGGTGCTGTGCTGGGTACTGAGGTTACAAATCAGTGCCTATCACTCAGGACAGTAAGTCCCGCAGCGAACTCGTCTATTGCGTTTAATTTTCTTCCAAGCCTGGGCCTCGGCACCTTGCACCTGAAAAGCTAAGCTGGTGCCTTTTAATTCACTCCGGTTTCAGCTCCAGTGTCTGGCCTACGGGACCTCCCACTCTAAAGCAGCCCCGTCACTCCCAGAACCTGCCTTCTGTTCATTCCTCAAGTGTGTTCAAGGCGTCACTTCTCGCACACAGTGGGGAGTGGCGGGAACACCGTCTCTGAGTGCTCCACAAGGCCTGTACGAAGAGCTGGGCAGGACGCACAGGCCCCCGGCAGGGCTGCGGAGGCAGAGAGGCACGAGGGCGTCCCAGGCACAGGGCCCAGCGTGAGCAACGGCTCCTCGAGGGAGGCTCTTGGGGAGAAAATGCCAGGGTGGTGACAGGCGGGGGCCGAACGCCGCCCCTGAGAAGCTCAGCCTACAGACGCCCTGAGTCTTGACCCGGGCGAAGCGGCTAGCCCCGCCGCGGGGCCTCGGCCCCCTCCAGGCCTGTTTCCCTACGTCCCTTCCCGGCGCCTCACCTGGGGCGGCAGCAGGCGCGGCGGGCGCTGGGGCTCGGCGCCCGGGCCCCGCGGCGGGGCAGCCTGCTGGGCCGCGTCCCGCAGCCGCCGCGCCACTTCCTGAAGCAGGAAGGGGGGCGGCGGCGGCGGCTGCGCCTTCGTCACTCGCTCCAGGACCCGCCGCAGCTGCTCGGGGTCCAGCGGGGCCACACGTGCGACGCTGCCGCTCTGGCCCGGAGGAGCCGGGCCGCCGCCGCCGCCGCCATCCTCGCTGCCGCCCCCAGCCTCCGGCTCCGCATCCGCCATGGCGGCCGAGGCGGGGACTCGAACCCGGTTCTCTGAGCGACGGCGGCTCCAATGTGCGTCACCTGGGAAAGGGGCGAACTACGGATGCCTCGCAGGACAAGACACCTCGGAAGGCGACCGTGCCTGGCGGGAAGGTCGTGGAGTGCCCCGCCCCCGCCGACAAGCGCCGCGGCTCCTAGGCTGATCAGCGGGGCGGACACCCGCTCCCTCTTATTTTCTTATTGCCTGTCATGGATGTATTTAACACTCACCTTCTCCGGGACCTTCGGGGTTCCAGAACCCCCGGTCCAAAAGTTAGCACACTAACTTCTTTCTTTTTTTTTTTTTTTTTTTTTTTTTTTTGAGATGGAGTTTCGCTCTTGTTACCCAGGCTTGAGTGCAATGGCGTGATCTCGGCTCACCGCAACCTCCGCCTCCTGGGTTCAGGCAATTCTCCTGCCTCAGCCTCCTGAGTAGCTGGGACTACAGGCGTGCGCCACCATGCCCAGCTAATTTTTTGCATTTTAGTAGAGACGGGGTTTCACCATGTTGATCAGGATGGTCTCGATCTCTTGACCTCGTGATCCACCCGCCTCGGCCTCCCAAAGTGCTGGGATTACAGGCGTGAGCCACCGCGCCCGGCCCTAGCACACTAACTTCTGACATCATCGTGCATCCGAATCATGAGCGGAGGATCCTGTCTGGAGATGCAGAGTCCTGTGCCCACCCCCAAACGTTTGGATTTATAGATCTAAGACGGAACCACAGTCTGAATTGTTAACAAGAGTGTTTCCCAACCCCACATTGTTCCCATGCCACCCTAGCCTCTCTCTACTCACCTGCCCAGGCTCGGTGCATCTTGAAGGGAAAGATGATATATTACTCATTCGGTGCCCAGCACGGGCCCTGCCCAGAACAGAACGCAGGCTCAGGGCATGAATGATGGGTGGGTGAATATGAATAAACGATTAGGCCGGGCGCGGTGGCTCACGCCTGTAATCCCAGCCCTTTGGGAGGCCAAGGCAAGGGGATCACCTGAGGTCGGGAATTCGAGAGGAGCCTGACCAACGTGGTGAAACCCCATCTCTACTAAAGATACAAAAAAATTAGCCGGGCGTGGTGTTGCACGCCTGTAATCCCAGCTACTAGGGAGGCTGAGGCCGGAGAATCGCTTGAACCCGGGAAGCGGAGGTTGCAGTGAGCCGAGATCACACCACTGCCCTCGAGCCTGGGTGACAGAGAGAGACTTCGTCTCAAAATAAATGAATAAGAATAAACGAATGGGCCGGGCGCGGTGGCTCAAGCCTGTAATCCCAGCACTTTGGGAGGCCGAGGCGGGTGGATCACAAGGTCGAGAGATCGAGACCATCCTGGTCAACATGGTGAAACCCTGTCTCTACTAAAAATACAAAAAATTAGCTGGGCATGGTGGTGCGTGCCTGTAATCCCAGCTACTCAGGAGGCTGAGGCAGGAGAATTGCGTGAATCCAGGAGGCGGAGGTTGCGGTGAGCCGAGATCGCGCCATTGCACTCCAGCCTGGGTAACAAGAGCGAAACTCCGTCTCAAAAAAAAGAATAAACGAATGAATGAACGAATGAATGAACCCAACCTCTCTACATGTCACTAAGCATCCAGCTCCACTGCCCATCTTCCTCAGCCCGATCCCCTCTTCTTACGGCTGAGGCTCTGTATGTCCTCCCCAATGAGTCTTGTAGCTGCAGCTCCTCTCCCCAAGGAGAGCAGGAGGTCCACGAGTCAACAAACCCTTATTAAGCACCTGTAGGGTAAGTCGCTGTTCCCGCCCAGTGGGGTTTAACAGTCTAGGTGGTGAGAAGAAGGAAACTGGCATTTGCAGCACAGTATGATGAACACCGAAGCCAGTAAAGTAAGGCTGGGAGCCAGGTTGGTGTCAGAGAAGGTTCTGGAAGATCACCATCATCCTCATCAATACATTGCATTCATGATGCTACCCGCTGTATTATTTTTTAATGGTGAATTTTATATTATGGGTATCTTACCACATTTTTTTTTTTCTTTTTAATAGGGAGACTCCCAGGCTACACTGTTTGTTTGTTTGTTTGTTTGTTTGTTTGTTTGTTTTTTGGAGACAAGATCTTGCTCTGTCACCCAGCCTGGATTTCAGTGTCATGATCTTGGCTTGCTACAACCTCAACCTCCCAGGCTCAAGTGATCCTCCCACCTCAGCCTCCGGAGTAGCTAGGACTACAGGAATGCACCACCATGCCCGGATAATTTTTGTAGTTTTAGTAGAGACAGGATTTCACCATGTTGGCCAGGCTGGTCTCAACCTCCTGACCTCTGGTGATCCACCCACCTCAGCCTCCCAAAGTGCTGAGGTATTTATTTTAGTCTTTACAGTCTGGGCTTTTTTTTTTTTTTTTTTTTTCCACTATCACCCTCCCCCAGTCTCCTAAAGTAGAAACAATTAGTAATGTTCATTATAGTAAGCATAACATTTTTCAGTCAGATTTCTAATGGTACTCTGTACCTAAGAAGTAGTCTTGTAGCACAGAGGGCTTTTTATATGTATGGTAGTATGTGACCAATTTACCAGCTTTAGTGTAATTTCAGCTCATTAAAGAAGTTATAGAGGTGTGTATAACATCACACCTATGATTTATTTGATACTAACTTCTGGGTATGCAAAACAATATTTAAAATTTTGACCACTGCAGAGTGTAATAGGGACACTAGTTATTTTAAGAGTTGCTTTTTAAATGTGGAAACATGGTCTTTTTTTTTTTTTTTTTTTTTTTTTTTTTTTTTTGAGACGGAGTTTCGCTCTTGTTACCCAGGCTGGAGTGCAATGGCGCGATCTCGGCTCACCGCAACCTCCGCCTCCTGGGTTCAGGCAATTCTCCTGCCTCAGCCTCCTGAGTAGCTGGGATTACAGGCACGCACCACCATGCCCAGCTATTTTTTTTGTATTTTTAGTAGAGACGAGGTTTCACCATGTTGACCAAGATGGTCTCGATCTCTTGACCTTGTGATCCACCCGCCTCGGCCTCCCAAAGTGCTGGGATTACAGGCTTGAGCCACCGCGCCCGGCCAGGAAACATGGTCTTAATGTATTGGGCCGTCTTTGGGGCCATTATAAATCAAATTTAGCTCTGTCAAGAGGCATCAGTGAGTTCTTTGAGTTTCTGCAGGTTGTGATAAAGACGGATGGTGAAGCTCTGCCACATAAGCAGCAATGCCTTCACCGTGCTGTTGACCTCGTGAATTTTAAATCTGAGAACTGCCATGGGACAGGTGACAAGTGGGCTTTAATGAACCCGTAGGCTCTTTGGGAAACTAAGTGAAAAGGAGAAACTTATAATTGGTTTCCTCACACGCTTTTATTCAGGTCTCAAATAATTTGCTTTAAGATAGACAGACTGAAATTTATGTGAATATCAAACAGTAAATTTTCAAGATTGAGGCTGTTATGTTATGTTATTTTGCTTTGTTTTTAACCACCACATCCCAGATGCCAGATTTTTATTTTTTTAATTGAGGCAGAAGGAGATGAGGTTGTTGAGGCTACATCAGATCTAAATTAGAACAAAAATAAAACTAGAATCCAAAAGAATAAAAGCTGAATGATTCACAGAGCCCTTGAAGAATTCTAGGTGTGAACCACTGTGCCCAGCACAGTGGAAGGTCTGAAGGAAGCTCTGCTTTATAGCAGATAAGAGATTTCAGGATTTTTTTTTTTTTTTTTTTTAAGACTGAGTCTAGCCCTCTCTCCCAGGCTGGAGTGCAGTGGCGCCATCTTGGCTCCCTGCAACCTCCACTGCCTGGGTTCATGCGATTCTCCTGCCTCAGACTCCCAGGCAGGTAGGATTGCAGGCATCCGCCACCAGGCCCAGCTAATTTTTGTATTTTTAGTAGAGACAGGATTTCACCATGTTGGTCAGGCTGGTCTCAACCTCCTGACCTCAGGTGATCTGCCCACCTCAGCCTCCCAAAGTGCTGGGATTACAGGTGTGAGCCACCGCACCTGGCCAGATTTCAGGAATTAAAATGCCTTCTACTCAAAATAATTTTCATGCCACCGTGGCATATTCTAAACCCCTTCAAGCTCAGGAAACGTGAGGGCTGCAAACTCCGCCGATTCCTCCATGCTGTGTCCCTGCATCTAAAAACGTGCCTGCCAGTACTATTAAAAGATGTGACATCCATCGTGTGTACAGGTGTCTATTTTAGGTGTCAGCCGCCTAGGCGCTCCTAACTTTGCTTATAATAACAGCAGCGCCATCGCCTGGCATTTATTAACTTTTACTACACCCTGGGCACTAACCAAGGTCTGTAGATTTTTGAGCTCCTTCTTATTTAGGTCAGAGCTAGTAGCTGTTTCCACTGTAGAATTTTCAAGAACAGGTGGAGCCCCTGCTGGATCCTGACATCAGTGGCATCGACCCTATACAACTGGCTTTTGTTCAACTGAGCACACCTGACCACCCTAGAAACTTGAACCAGGAGAGGGAAATGCATCCACTTTCTCCGGCTGCAAAATGCAGAATCAAGAAGAAATGAGAAGCCTAAGACGTTTCTGAAAAGAAAAGGGGGCGGTGGGGCGGGAAAGAGAAGATTTCCAGAGGCTTTCACAACCTGAACGCCTCACTAAAAACATGGCAGTCATCTGCTGGCTGTCATTGTCTCCAGGCGGGTTGGGCTTTGTGTCCCAGCGTTTTGTGCCCAGCCTAGAACGGTGCTGGGCAAGCAGTAGCAGCTCTCCATACCCATCTGCGGAATGCATTCATTCCAGACCTGGATTTTCAACTCGAAGGCTTCCCCGCCAGGGGGCCCAGAGAACACCAGGCCGTGACATCTGGGAGCACCTGTCTTCACTGGGCAGTTCCTCCAGGCAAGACGCAGCCTCGAGAAACGTGGGGAGTGGGAGCTGGTGATGTGCATCGGTTTGGATGTCCTGAGTGCCCCCCCCCAAACGACAAATGTTAAAGGCCTAACCAATGGCGTTTTAAAACAGACCCTTCAGGTGGCATCAGGCGCGAGGTCTCTGCGTGAAGAGCCACCGCCCCAGCGCGCGTTGGGTTCCT